CTCCACCTCCTGTCCCTGTTCCACCGGCGCCGTTTCCACCGTGAAGGCCGGTTGAGTTCGTCGATTCCCCTTCGCCGTCCGCCTCCGGGCAGTCGTCCTGTTCGCCGAGGTCGTCGTGGCCCTCGTCGCCCGTCGACGGACTACGCGTCCGGTGCAGACGCTCCTCCCCGTTATCGTCGTCCAGGTCGTCTGCGAGCAGAAACGGGATTCGTGCTGGTTTAATATATTGTTCAGTTGATGTTTGGTTGGGGGTGTAGATCGGGTGTAACGGGGATAGTGTATGTACAGTTGTTGGGGAAACGTGTGGGATCGAGGATTGAGAGAGAATTGGGGAGGTTTGTTTTTATAATTCGTTTGGAGGTAGTTTTGATTGCTTTGATTTTATTAGAGAGAGATTGAGCGTTGTGGATTGCACAGGGTTAGGGAGGATTTGAGGGGATATGGATGTCGGTGATATGCTTATGATTCTGAAATGATCTCAAACGTGACGATATTGCAATTTAGATTTGATAGGTAAACATTACTGTGCTATAAATTTTAGTAAAAAGCGTCGGTGGATTTGAGGAGAAATTGCGAAGGTCTAATTCCCAATAAAATTATCCTAACCTCAAAATTTGGAACTGTGGAGGTTTAATTCCCAAAAAATGAAACTTAACTTCATCCTAACCTCAAAATTTGGAGCTGTGAAGGTCTAATTCCCAATTAAATGAAGTTCAACTTTACTCTAACCTCAAAATTTGGAACTGTGAACGTCCAATTCCCAAAAAATGAAGCTCAATTTTACCTTAACCTCAAAATTTGAAATTATTTATGTCCAATTCCCATTAAAATGGAACTCAACTTTATCCTAACCTCAAAATTTGAAATTATTTATGTCCAATTCCCATTAAAATGGAACTCAACCTTATCCTAACCTCAAAATTTGAAATTATTTATGTCCAATTCCCATTAAAATGGAACTCAACCTTATCCTAACCTCAAAATTTGAAATTATTTATGTCCAATTCCCATTAAAATGGAACTCAACTTTATCCTAACCTCAAAATTTGAAATTATTTATGTCCAATTCCCATTAAAATGGAACTCAACTTTATCCTAACCTCAAAATTTGAAATTATTTAGGTCCAATTCACATTAAAATGGAACTCAACCTTGTCCTAACCTCAAAATTTGAAATTATTTAGGTCCAATTCATATTAAAATGGAACTCAACTTTAACCTAACCTCAAATTTTGAAATTATTTATGTCCAATTCCCACTAAAATGGCACTCAACCTTGTCCTAACCTCAAATTTTGAAATTATTTAGGTCCAATTCCCACTAAAATGGAACTGAACCTAATCCCAGCCCCAAAATTCACAGTATTCCAATTCCCATTTGTCGGATAGAGAACAGCGTGGTATAAGTTGGAGTAAAAAGCGACAGAGAGGGTTGGAGGAGGAAATTGTGGAGGATCGATTTATAACAAGATGGAGACCCCCCGTCTTATTGTCGGAGTTCTGAGCGGGGATTGGAATTGCTGGTCTATTGCGGGAATCGATTTCGCCGCAAAGCAGAAACTATCGATGCAGTCGCTTGAATGTCTTGTCGTCTAAAATGGACGATAATCGATGCAAAGTAGCCGGCGGATAAGATAATGCGTGGGCTTTTGGCCTGTACAGGAGAGACCGCTCATCGATACCGATTAACGCTCCAATTTGCTGATAGGCGCGGTCGTATACGCCGTAATGGAAACGTATGCATTGAGTCCCAGCGATGATCGGTAGTTTATTGTCATTGTGGCGAATCAGACCAATTAAATGGATACTATCATGGCCAATGACTCTGTTATAAATTCCTATACGGCTCGTATACGAACAATGCTAAACGAAACTTAATCTCAACTTCGTTATTCTCATCTTCAAATCGGAACAGTAGAAATGTTACAAAAGTACTATATACCGGGTGTTTCATATATTACTGTCAAAATAATACAGAATATTCGGAAGGCGAAAAAATTGAAAAAAATTCCTATGAACTGAATTTTTTAAACGATTCGTTAAAAAGTTCAAAGCAGTGAAAAAAAATCATTGCGTGGATTCTGGAAGAATGGAAAGAATCGTTGTGTTTTTAAGCAAAATTGAACGATGCTTCTCGGTTTCATAGTTTTTTATAGTTACTGCTTCGTAAGTGACTGTCATTATTTTCAATTATTCTCTCGATTTTATGAAGCTTCGAGTAATGACAATTGTTCAAATCTCTCTCCTTCTGCAGTGATACAAGCTTCCATTCGGCGAAATAGCGATTCCCAAAATTTTTTAAACGTTCCTTCTGTATTACAAATTTTCAGACACAACTTCACACGAACCTTTTTCATCCATTTCACCTGCTAAATTCACAGTATCAATTATCAATGCCCACTAAATTATCCAAACTTACTGTATTAAAGTAACGTCTAAACGGTATTTTCAAAGACTTACTCGAGAACTGATTGTCGACAGAAAAGAACGAGAGGCGATTAAATCTTCGATTTCCTATCAGACACTTTCAATTCGATAATTATAGCGTACGATGAAGAGAGGAAACGGGCAAGTGACGAATCGACGCCGGTGCACAATTTGGCAAATCGCGCTATTTATTCGTCGGATCGTTGAATGGCTGCGGAAACGATTTCGGCACACGCTAAACGCGTTAATTAACTGGTTCTTTAAAGCGTTTTCCTCACTGGGAACAGAATTGGCGAGGAAATCCCTTTCGGTATTGTCGATCATCAGACGAGAATGTATGTATGTACAGGTATAGGGTATATAGCACGTATAAATTCTCTCCGAGCGGTGATTCGGTAAATCAACGGGGCTATTCATCTCGGTTGGCTGTTGCATTTAATATTTAGTCGATTGATAGTCCGCTAATTTAATATTCTATTTATCCATTTTGACATAATTGCCTGAGATATCGGGTGTAGCCGTACGCGAGATCGGTGTTCGATCGCGGCGATGAAATATTTGTCGTTTCTGCGTCGGTTCTTCGCGCCTTTTGTGCAAAACCTCGTTAATCCATTGTAAACGATGCGATCCATTCGCGCCTCGATTTTCATCCATTCTTCGTATCTTCGGTTTGCATTCCGTTGTAATTAAGAACTCGGAGTGGGAAAGTTGGAGGAATTCGGAATTGATATGTTTCTCGGTAAATAGGTAATAAATTATTACGATAGTTTTGTCTTTGATAGGGATCCTTCTGATCTTCGTGAAATATTGGGAAAGTTCAGTTTTCGCAATACTTTCTGTGAAATAATTACCTTGAAAATTGTTGTGTTTTCATTTAAAATGATACGAAAGTAATTAGAAAAGTAGACACTTCAAATTTTCATAGGAAAATTTTTGTCTTAGAATTATACTCAAAATTTTTATTATCTTGAAATTATACTCAAAATTTTCGCAGGAAAATTCCTATTATCCCGGAATTATATTCAAAATTTTCATAGGAAGATTCTTATTGTTCTGAAAATGTACTGAAAATTTTCGTAGGAAAATTTTCGTCACCTTGAAATTATACTCGATACGTTCATTATCTTTAAATTGCACTGAAAATTCTTATTATCCTGAAATCACTCCAAATTTTCGTAGAAAAATTTTTATTACCTCCAGTTCACTTTCCACAATAATTAAGACCTCAGAATCGAGAAGCTAAAATAATTCAGAACAGACACTTTCCTCAGAAAGTGATAAATTACAATTCCCCAATATTCCCCACGAAATAATTACCCAAATACACACATATAGCAGCAAAAATCCGACATTCGAAATTTTTCTATAAAACTTCAACGTGTAACCTGTCGAATCACCATCACACGACGCACTCCCCGTTTTTCCACGAATCCGTCCCCAAAAACTATTACAAAATACCCTAATTTCCCTGGACCGTTGTCCAAACGGTAAAGTCTACCGTTACACGATTACAACTGTCGCGAAACGTGTGAGCAATAGTTGGTACGTAAATTTGGACGACGGACAAGAAAAGGGTGTGAAGCGAGTGGAAATGCGACGTGTAGAGAATTATCAGTGGTTCTCGCCTAAGGTGCAAGCAAGCGTCAGTCATCTAGCAAGCTGCCAAGTATTTTGGCGAAGTGGCAGGAGTAAAACGATCGGCGGGTAAGGCGATCGACGTTGGTTTGTCGTGGTGGAAGCCGTGGAAGCCGTATCTCGTCGCCGTCCACGCTCGCGTTTATACACTTACGTAGAACGCGTACAAACCCTCGCCTTGCCCTTTTCTCTCTGTCCGCTATGTTCCCTTTTACGGATCCACGCGCGTTCCTACCTTGCAGAAGAATTATTTCATTCTGCTTCTACGTTTCTCCGTGAAACCCTTCTTATTTGGTTTTTCCCGCAGTGAGTAAACAAACAAGACAAATTTCGATGGTCGATGCGAGAAAATTTGGAATTTTTATTCCGGTTATCTCAGATCAAATCTTTTTTTTCTGAAATTGTATTCTCAGAATTGTCGGTTTAATAGAACTGATAGCTCTGATCGTTGATTTTGGATAATTAGTTGGCTCAAGTTGCCCCTTTTCTTGTAGATACAGCTTAATTTTGGTAATTCGTGCAAGAAAATTTCTCTCGAAATTGTATTCTGATAATTCCACTGGTAGCCTTGATAATTCAGTTTCGTTGTAGTTGTAATCTGCATCTAATCCGTCTGATAACAAATTCTCTCTTGAAATTGTATTCCCAGAATTTCATGTCTAATGAAACTGATAGCCTTGATAATTAATTCTTGTTCAGGTTGCCTCTTTTTTTATAACAGCAGCCAATATTCTCTTGAAACTGTATTCCCAGAATTCTACCGACAGCCTTGGTAATTCACTGTCATTCAAGTGGCTCCTTTTTCTATTCGTACCTCTTTCCTTAATTTCGATAATCGGTGCAAGAAAATTTCTCTTGAAATTGAATTCCCAAAATTCCTCGTCCAACAGAAGTGATAGTCTCGATAATTCATTTTTCTTCAAATTGTCTCTTCTTCTATTCGTACCTCTTTCCTTAATTTCGATAATCGGTGCAAGAAAATTTCTCTTGAAATTGAATTCCCAAAATTCCTCGTCCAACAGAAGTGATAGTCTCGATAATTCATTTTTCTTCAAATTGTCTTTTCTTCTATTCGTACCTCTTTCCTTAATTTCGATAATCGGTGCAAGAAAATTTCTCTTGAAATTGAATTCCCAAAATTCCTCGTCCAGTAGAACCGATAACTTTGTTGATTCATTTTTCTTCAAATTGTCTCTTCTTCTATTCGTAACTCTTTCCTTAATTTCGATAATCGGTGCAAGAAAATTTCTCTTGAAATTGAATTCCCAAAATTCCTCGTCCAGTAGAACCGATAACCTTGTTGATTCATTTTCCTTCAAATTGTCTCTTCTTCTATTCGTAACTCTTTCCTTAATTTCGATAATCGGTGCAAGAAAATTTCTCTAGAAATTGAATTCCAAAATTCCACGTCCAGTAGAACCGATAACCTTGTTGATTCATTTTCCTTCAAATTGTCTCTTCTTCTATTCGTAACTCTTTCCTTAATTTCGATAACGAATGCAAGAAAATTTCTCTTCGAATTGAATTGCAGTGGCCCTGATAGCCTTGATAATTCATTTTCAATAAAATTGTCTCCTTCTCTATTCACAACACTTTCCTCAATTTCCCCAATCGACGCAACGAAATTCCCTTCAAAACAGTACTCCCAAAATTCCTCATCAAACAGTCTCATAACCTCGCTAAAATTCACTTTTTCTATTCACAACTCCTTCCTTACTTTCCATAGCCGATACAACAAAGTTCCTTTCAAAACCATATTCCCAAAATTCCCCATTAAACACTCTGATAACCTCGACAAAATTCACCTCTTCTCAAACCGTCTCTTGCTCCACCCCCAAAAGTTACCTTTCCACATCCTCGGTCCTCGTATTCGGTACATTGTAAACGTAGCATTCGGAAGAAATTATGGCAAATTGGTCGATCACGTTATCCCTCCGCGATTACGAATCGATGTTCATCGATAGACGCATCGTCGCTGTCCTCCTCTATTCAACGCTCCATTTAGAGAGAAGAGTACACGCCAGATCGGACAGATCGAGGAGAGAGAGATAGAGCGTTTCAACGAGTTGAACGATTTTCAGTTGCACGAGCTGCTAGTTTCCCCTCCCGAAACGAGAATGTTTACAGGCCTCCGTTACGCTCGACTAGCCTAAATTTATGATCCAGCAACTCGACGCGATTTCACGCATAATCATACTTCTACAATATGCAGAATGTTTATGTACATTCGGTGCGCGAGTGTATTCCCTGTTCGCCAAATCAGTTCTAATCGGGGGCTGTTGCAACGTGGAATTTTCGGGGATACGGCTTGCCAAGGGGAAATTTTGTTGCGCCGATTATCGTAATCTGGCTCCTGTTGTTGGAGCATTATCCGCCTAAGTAGATGGATTAATGTTTCAACCGAGCTATTCTTAAAATTCGCGAGAATCTCCTTGGCTAAGAATGTCGAAACAGTGTTTTGCAAATGCCAGCTATTAAAATTAACACGTCTGTCGAGTAGGATGAAAATATACTTGCTGTGGTAGAGAGAGTATAGAATGTGTGGCAAATTTTGACGATTTTTAGGCAAATTCGTATTTTATTTTATTTAAAAAAATAGAAGCTTGATAGGCAATTGTTTCGTTCGCTAAATATTACAATTGGTACTATATTTTGGGGTTATTTATGTATTTTTGATTGTTATGTGCATTCTGTGTACATTTGTGTCTTCGTAGTTTGCATAAATGCATAGAAATCCGCGTTCTAGTGAAAAATGAAATTTAACAGTCTGAAATCACTTCCATAATTTTGGAAGATTTGAGGCTACGCAATTTCTATATTCAATTAAAATTCCTAAATTCCAAAAATTTCGCAGAGCTCGAAATTCCATCCTATTCAAGAATTTGTACAAACCATAAATTTCAGGATAAACAAAATGCCTCCACCAAATCTCCTACTAAACACTGAATCGTTCATAAGTCATACACTTAATGAATTAGTGAAGCAAATCCAAAGTCACTCAAATTGCTCACTTCAGAATTTCGTAGTACAGCGAGTATAGTCAATGGAAGAAATAAAGCGCGTCAAAGTGAATTAAAATTATTTTACTAGGTTTCCAATTCAGGTTGGAAAAATTTAATCGCGTTTTCTGAATGATCCAGTGTCTGAGCTTGTATCATGTTTTCACCTTTGTAGTTCAAATTACTCTTCGTTCACACAGAAGATGTGTACGAATTAATTCGGTGCCTTTTCTCATAAATTTTAATATTTAATTTACAAAAGATCGAGCACAAGTTTAATGTTAAAAGGAGTCCCCACTATTTTGGATGACATTCTTCCATTTATCGAGAAACTGACGAATTCCGTCTGTGAAGAATTGTGGCTGCTTTGAGTTGATATAGTCGTGAAGGCTTTGTGAAAAAAGGCACCGAATTAATTTGTACACCTAATAATTGCGACAGTAGCTGCAGCTAAGTGGTTCCATTTCCTTAATTAGGTGTTCGTGCGTCTTTAATCCGTTATTACTCCTCTCTGCATTTAACCCTTTCGTTGCCATAGGCGTTTTGAAAATTTTCTGACACCGCACTGTCGAAGCCTTTTGGTGCACCTTCACCTTGAAGAAATTTACGCACTTCCACTTTAATTGAATAAAACGAACTTCAAAACGATTCGGTTGAAATAAGAAATTTTGCAGTAGATCGTAAAAATTTGCCCAGGTTACGCGTTAAAATTTACAGTAGCGAAAGGGTTAAATTTGACAGAAACTATTAGCGATTACAATTTCGCGGATTTTTACGCATTTATAGAAAATTTAAAGGTACGACATTGCACCGAACGCACGGTAATATGAAAAATACCCAGAATATCCAAATTATAGTACTTTGTACAATACCTAACACATGAAATAATTTTCTACCCTACGTCTACATTTTTTAGCACAACGCGATCAGAAAAGAAAAAAGAACCTAGAAATTCCGGTTAATTAAAATTTGAGCCAAAAAGGGACGTTATATTTCCCCCTTTCTCTTACAACACTCTAAAAAATTTCCCTAAAAATCCTCCAGTCTAGCGATTAGAATTCCAATTTCCACGCCTTCTGTCCTTACAATAGGTACGTAACGGGTGTCCGGATACTCGCGACGAAGGTAAATACGAGGAAACGTTGAATTAGCCGTATAAAATCACCCCACCCATCCATCACGATAATCAAACGAGGAAGATAGAGAGTTGCGTGGATAAAGTAGAGAGAGAGAGCTCGAGGGTACGGTGGTTGGACGGTGTACGGAGACTCACCCCTTTGCGGGAAGGATGCGGAAGCAGGACTGACGCGGCTCAGGGTGCCAACGACGTCGCTCGGCGACGGATGCTCGAGCGTTTGCAGGCCATGCGTCGGCCTCCATGGAAACGGCCAACCGGCGCCACCGGGCAGGACGCCTCGAATGCCGTCGGCGTCGACGATGTCCGATTGGCCGGTGACCTGAACGGCGTTGCTCAACGCCGACGAGGCTGCAGCCAGTCGAGAGTGATGCTGGTGTTGCTGTTGCTGGTGAAGGTGTTGCAACGTGGAAGGGAAGAAGACGCCACCGACGCCGATGCCGACCGGGTAACGGCCCGCTATCAACGACGACATCAGGCCCAATCTGTAAATGGAATTTAGTCGATGTTGAATTTCCGGGAAATTCAGTTTTCGATTGATTTCTTTCGGGCGTTTAAGTCTTTGCTACGTTAATTTTAGTTGTGTGTTTGCGAAATTCATTTTTCGGGGGTAGTTGAGAAATTGACTTTATGTTAATTTCGTTCTGCGTTTGAGAAATTGGGTTTTGGAGTCTTTTTTTGGGAGTGTTTAAGTCTCCTTTAGGTTAATTTCGTTCTGTGTTTGAGAAATTCATTTGTGGATTTCTTTACTTGGGGGTGTTTAAGTCTTCCTTACATTGATTTCGTTCTGTTTAGCGTTTTTGTGTATTTTTTAGTGTACAAATTTATTTAGGATTTTATATATTTTTAAGTATTGAAGGCACAGAGGATCGTTTCTGCAGTTTGTAGGAAAGATACTAAGTCCGTGACGCGTGTAAGGGTTAAGCGTGGAGAAGAAGTTTGAACTACAAATTTGACAGATCAGAACCTAACCAAACCTCTTCAATCACGTTCAATTTACTCGTGAAACACTTTAGAAGACTCCTTCTCCCGTAATGGTGAAATTAAATACGCAGGGTGCTCAATTAATTATAGAAACACTTGCCCAAATTTCTATCTTTAATTTATTAAAGCAAAACCTAACCAAATACGTTCCTTTTACTCGTGAAATAGTTTAGAAGACACTGTTCCGTCGGAACGTAGAAAAACTGAATACACAGGGTGTTAAATTAACACGGAAACACTTTCCCCAATTTCAATCTTTAATTCACCAAAATGAAACTTAATCAAACCTCTCCAAACACGTTCTTTTTACTCACGAAATAGTTTAGAAGACACTGGTCGAAGAACTGAATATACAGGGTGTTAAATTAACACAGAAACACTTTCTCAAATTTCCCTCTTTAATCTACCAAAATGAAACTTAATCAAACCTCTCCAAACACGTTCCATTTACTCACGAAATACTTCAGAAGACACTGTTCCGTCGGAACGTAGAAAAACTGAATACACAGGGTGTTAAATTAACACGGAAACACTTTCCCCAATTTCAATTTTTAATTCACCAAAATGAAACTTAATCAAACCTCTCTAAATACGTTCTTTTTACTCACGAAATAGTTTAGAAGACATTGGTCGAAGAACTGAATACACAGGGTGTTCAATTAACACAGAAACACTTTCTCAAATTTCCCTCTTTAATCCACCAAAATGAAATTTAATCAAACCTCTCCAAACACGTTCCATTTACTCACGAAATACTTCAGAAGACACTGGTCGAAAAACTAAATACACAGGGTGTTAAATTAACACGGAAACACTTTCCCCAATTTCAATTTTTAATTCACCAAAATGAAACTTAATCAAACCTCTCTAAATACGTTCTTTTTACTCACGAAATAGTTTAGAAGACATTGGTCGAAGAACTGAATATACAGGGTGTTAAATTAACACAGAAACACTTTCTCAAATTTCCCTCTTTAATCCACCAAAATGAAATTCAATTAAACCTCTCCAAACACGTTCCATTTACTCACGAAATACTTCAGAAGACACTGGTCGAAAAACTAAATACACAGGGTGTTAAATTAACACGGAAACACTTTCCCCAATTTCAATTTTTAATTCACCAAAATGAAACTTAATCAAATCTCTCTAAATACGTTCGTTTTACTCACGAAATAGTTTAGAAGACATTGGTCGAAGAACTGAATACACAGGGTGTTCAATTAACACAGAAACACTTTCTCAAATTTCCCTCTTTAATCCACCAAAATGAAATTTAATCAAACCTCTCCAAACACGTTCAATTTACTCACGAAATACTTCAGAAGACACTGTTCCGTCGGAACGTAGAAAAACTGAATACACAGGGTGTTAAATTAACACAGAAACACTTTCCCAAATTTTCCTCTTTAATTCACCAAAATGAAATTTAATCAAACCTCTTCAAACACGTTCCATTTACTCACGAAATACTTCAGAAGACACTGTTCCGTCGGAACGTCGAAAAACTGAATACATAGAAACACTTTCTCAAATTTCCCTCTTTAATCCACCAAAATGAAATTTAATCAAACCTCTCCAAACACGTTCAATTTACTCACGAAATACTTCAGAAGACACTGTTCCGTCGGAACGTAGAAAAACTGAATACACAGGGTGTTAAATTAACACAGAAACACTTTCCCAAATTTCCCTCTTTAATTCACCAAAATGAAACTTAATCAAACCTCTCCAAACACGTTCCATTTACTCACGAAATACTTCAGAAGACACTGTTCCGTCGGAACGTCGAAAAACTGAATACACAGGGTGTTCACTTAACGCAGAAACACTTAGCCAAATTTCAAATGATTAATCCGTCAAATCAGAACCCAACAACCGACCCTCTCCGAACACCTTCTTTTATCCCCGAACCACTTTGGAAGACACTTAGCCATCATAACAGGGGAAAAAAAAATCACAGAAGAGATTAATGTCAGCGCGGGGTTCCGATTAACCCCTCCAATGGAAGCGTATCGGTCGCGTTTTTCCGGATCGTTTCGGCTGTCGGCTTGTGCCGCGTAAAAGTGAAACCGTGTGCGCGAAATGTTTGCGCCGGTTTTGCGAGCCGTTTAAAGCCGCGCTCTAAATAAAACAGCGTTAAAAAAAAACCTTAGGGATTAAAACAGAACGCGCGGCCGCGTTTTCCAGCAAGCGGCCGGGCGGACGAGCGTACCGGTGGCTGAATACGAGCGCTGCAAGGCTTTACAGCTCGGGAACGTGGCCGTGTCCGAGGCGTCGAGCGCGATTCACCCTGGCCCTGTCTTCTTCTCTCTCTTACTCACTCTGTTTTCCACCGAAAAAAACCGGCAAACGTTTCCAAAACCCATTTATCCGGTCGACGGCCGCGCGGAAAACGACTTCCATTCTCTTCTTGTTGCGCGTTCGCGAAAAACCGACCGTTTTTCCACGCCGCACGGAAGCCATTAACATTCGAGGAAGAGGGGTTGGCTTGCAATACTTACTCCTCCGGTACAGGTTCAAAGGATATTTAGAGAGTTATGCCTATTAAGGGCGACGCGAGCCGAGGCCAACAATAACACCGGTGCTCGTTATTAGCTAGGTGAAAATCCGCTTACGGAATTTCTAGTTACCTGTGCTCGACGATTCTTCGAGTGTCGCGGAGAATTGATGGTTGAAAGTGTGAATGGTGGAATCGGGTGGAAAATGTGAGGTGAATTTGTGATCGATGAGGCTTTTAATGGCGCACCTGGTTACAGTAATTATTAGAGGTATGAATGAGAAGTACAAGGTTTGTCTAATGAGATGTGTACACTGTCGTTCGTAAGTAGTAGCGAAGTAAGCCTCAACAGTCGTCAGAAAATTATTAGGTTAAAAAAATTGGAAGGTGATTTAAATCGTGTAATACTTTCTGTACGAACACAACGGGTGTCCTAATATTTACGAATGACAGCGTACGTGATCCTGATTCTGAATGATGATTGCTATGATAAAGTATGACGAGTATTTTAGACGTTCGATGGAACAAGATGCCACAGTAGATCATTGTTGTCCTAAATTGGAACAAAAGCGACTATTCACGAGCGAAGGACATTGTCGAATTAAATTTTTCACAAAATTCCTGTGGGATAGGAAATCGTCGAATTAAATTTTTTTCACAAAATTCCCCATCGATAATTTTTTAATTATATCTCTTTGGAACGAGATACGAAAGATTTGACAAGCAGTTGCGTTGAAGAGTACTATGGTGGTAATTAGGGGATGAAGAATCTATATAGCAGAAACATCTGCAAGCACTTTCCTCTTACTTTTCGCCCGAACAAGTTTTCTCCTAAATAGAACCTCTTGAAGGCGCCCTTAATTGTAGATTAAGGTAAATGGAGCTTCTCGGTGATACCTTAAACCCGGTCAAACCCAGGCCGAAATCCCGAAATCCGGATATATTTGTAAATGGAACTGCTCGAGGTTGCGTCCTTAAGTGCAGATCTCTCAAGGATATTCACGGCTAGAGAGTATACCTCACCTACCCACCGCACAGCTTTCGCTTTCTACAGAGCAACTGAATTGCACCTACAGCTAAGCATCTGTGAACTGGATAACCGTAGCTGCTGACACGTGCACACGCCTAACCTACAATTGCAACTCTATTCTAAGCAGACTTTCACTCGTAACAATTTCAAACGGTTTCAACATCCTCGTCATCCGTTCCAACCGAGAACATCGATATAACCTCGAGTGCCTAACCAGGCGTCCCCGCGAGCAGTGCTGCCAACATTCAACGGATAAAAAGTATGGAGGAACGAGGGATTAATTTCTCGGGGAATATTAAAATAGCTTTTCAGGGTACTTAGAGGTCGTAATCTACATTTTTTTTTAAAGAGATTCAGGAGTACGAGGAGTTTAACTAATTTTTGGTAATTCTGGGAATATCGGGAGGATTTATTTTTTATTTTTCAGTGTTCAGGGAAATTACTTAAAAATTCCTTTTTGGGGATACTTAGAGGAGTAATCTACATTTTTTGAAAGAGATTCCGAGGGAATAAGGAGTAATAAGAAGATTTATTTTTTTACTTTGGAGTGTTCAGGGAAATTACTTAAAAGTTGCTTTTTGGGGATACTTAGAGGAGTAATCTACATTTTTTGAAAGAGATTCCGAGGGAATAAGGAACATTAAGAAGATTTATTTTTTTAATTTCGAGCGTTTGAGGAAATTACTTAAACATATCTTTTGCTTGGGACACTTAGAGGAGTAATTAAAATGTTTCTAGAACGTAATTGATGAATAATTTCTAAGGGAACACTCTACGAGTGTTCAGGAAAATGATCCAATTTACATAGTCAACCAAAATTTCACATATGAGCTAAACTATTCAGAGACTAAATTCCTCCACTTTTTGCAATTTTTCCAATTTCACTATTAAAAACTAATATCTACGAGTGTTTGTGAAAGTAACTCGACCTAGTCTACGACGACCCCAAAATAACGAATCAGACTTTCACA